GTGTGTGTGTGTGTGTGTGTGTGTGTGTGTGTGTGCGCGCGCACACATGTGTACATGAATGCACAATGTGCATGTGTAGAGGTCAGAGGACAATTTGTAGGAATTTTTTTTCCTTGAACCATGTGGGATCTGGGAAATTGACCTCACATTGATAAGCATGTCAAGAAACCACTTTACACACTGAAACATCTCATTCCCTTGATGTTGGACATCTTTTAACATAGATCTTGTCATCTCAGTATTTTCTTTGGAGATACATGTTTTCAGATCTTTACCATTTTATTAAGGATTTTTTGCTTTGGTTATTGATTTTTCACAGTTCTTCACATATTTTACTTATTTGCATGTACTTCTGTGTGTATGCATGCATTTTAACATATGTACGGGTATATATGTGTTGGGGGCTCAGGTGCATTTAAGATAGTTTGGTGAATAAAGATGCTTTCTGCCAAGCCAAGTCTGACTATCTGAGTTCAGTCTTTGAAATCCATATGCTGGAAAAATAAAGCACACTTCTCTAATTTGTCCATTGACCTCCACACTTGCTTATGCTGTGAAATGAATATGCACACATATACACCCTTCTGAGCACACCAAGTAAAAAAGTAATAGATGTTTAAGTAAAGCATTCTAGAGTTCAAATAAGCCTTACAGGTGTCATACCCATAGCTTCTGCTCTACAACCTGTAGGGAAACTCACGTCACATAAGTAAGGAAACAGTCACCATACTGGTTGTCTGTGGTGTGTCAGGCATTCCCCCAACCTGCTTCATAAAGTTATAAAAACAAAGCCACAGTGAAAATCATCACCCAAGTCTTAAAGACAACAGTGATGCTGTGAGGGGTGAATGACTTTTCTGTTCATGCAGCTTATAAGTATTTTTAGAACAGGTCTCTGTTACGGCAAATCTTTCCACCAAAAGCTGCCCAAGCCCTACCACCATGTGGGCAGTCTCCGCCAGCCACCTGAGTTCTGCCCGCCATGTGGATGGACAAAATAATACAGAGACTTATATTAGGTACAACTGTTGCTTGACCAATAACTAGGATTTCTCATCTGCTTGCTCAGTCTTAATTATCATAAATCTATATATTTTATAAGACTTATCTAATTGGACGCCTTCCATTGGCATCCTCCCTTTCGAATCTGGAGGAAGAGCAGAAGGAAAAGGGACCACTCCCTGCTTGTCCTTCCTTAAATATGAGTCTCCCTGCTATGTCACTTCCTGCCTGGATCATCACTTCTTTACTACATTTCCCAGAATCCTATTTGACTCTTAGTCCTTCCTAACTTGCTGCCTCATTGGCCAAACAGTACTTTATTCAACAATCAATAAGATAAACATACACAGAAGTACATTCCCCATCAGGTCTCACTTATGATTAGTTTCACTGCAAAGCCTGACAGGTTTCTCCCATCCTTTTCATTTATGAGTCTTCTACCAAGTGATCAGCACTGAAACCATATACATGGAAGTGACACTAAATGAACTGAGCAGGTAGGTTACATTTATATATTTATGCATACACACATGCATACGCTCACTCACACACATGCACGCACATAACAATAACAAAGAAGGCCTAAGAAGCAGCAAGGAGGGTACATGAGAGGGATTAAAGGCTGGAAAGACAAGAAGGAAATGATGCAATTATTTTAGTTTTTAAAATTTAAAAAAGAAACCATCAGGTTTGATGAAGTCATGCTTGTTCTCCTCTAATGAGGGAGAGTCCTAGTCAGATAGGCACTACCACTAGCAGTCACTTTTTGGCAGCCAGGGCCATACCACTATTCTGTGGAGGCCAGTACCCTTGGTACATGATGTAAATGCTAGGCTGGCTTGCCTTTGCTTAACATGAACTAGGAGTTCATTACTTATCACCAACCCTTCTGGGGTTGCCAAGCTTAGATTTATTCCATTTTTGAAAAGCACCCTTCCATGGCTTTGAAGTCTATCTGGATAGGATAAATTATCCAGGTTCTATTCCATGTGTGAAATTAAGCCTCTTGGACTGGAATAAAAATGGACCCCTGAGTGGGAAGTGTATGCTGATTAAAAGTCTTGTCTGCTGGTATACCAGGTATTCTTAAAAGTAAGATAAATGAGCGTTTGTTTTATTTGAGGAACTGTGTGAGCTTCTGGAGACACTGTTTTTCTATGAGTCCTTATGCAGGCAGAGTGGGGGGGGTGCTCAGGGCTATAATCTCCTCCCTTACTTGCCTTTGAACAGATTAGGAACTCTTAGGGACTCTTGTTTATGCCTATATAGTTCTCTTCATGCCGAGATGAAGGTTTCCACAGCATGAGCTATAACTGGATGTTTAATAAATGCTTTTTGATGTGGATAATGGTATGGAAATAAATCTTTTGGGATACAGAGTCTGCCTGGGTTTTCTGCCTCATTAGGAAAGAAGCGATTAATAGGAGGGTATGGATAAATATGAATGTCAATCTTAAGTCAGGAAACCCCATGTTCTTCTATCTTAGAATTCTGGAAAAAGAAAACTCAGGGTAGTGTGGCTGAAGGAGGGATTCTTTTACAGCAATACCAGTATTTACAAATTGTCAGAGGATTTTTATTGCTGTGAAGAAACACCATGACCACAGCAACCCTTATAAGGAAAACATTTAATTGGGGGGGCTCACTTACAGTTTCAGAGGTTCAGTCCATTGTCATCATGGCAGGGAGCATGATAGTTTGCAGGCAGGCAGGCATGGTGCTCAAGTTGAGAGTGCTACATCTTACAGGCAACAGGAAGTCACATTGAGGGAAGCTTGAGCAAAAAAGATCTCAAAGCCTGCCCCCACAGTGATACACTTCCTCCAATAAGGCCATACCTCCTAACAGTGACACTCCCTTTGGAGGCCATTTTCTTTCAAACCACCATACCAATTTTCTCTAATCAGGTAGACTCAACTCACATTTCAGCAGTCTTGTTTATAGTGGGAAATTACCAATACGTAGTCAGGTAGAAATATAAGGGTATTTAATAGGGAAAAGCCTTACTTACAGAGCAACCTAGCCAGCCGGCGTGGCAGCAGTCTGTCCAGGAAGTACCAAAGTGAAACCGAAAGAGAAAATGCAGTCACTCTACATCACCCTGACCACGCCCTCGAAAGCATGGTCAGGC